CTTAGGTGTACGTGGCTGGCGCCTTAGCCGGTTGAGCTATAGGCGCCGAGCCAAGCTCCACACTTTCTAAAAGCCATTTCTTGCCCTCTGATCTTTTTCCTTGTTCATTGCCTTCTGTGCTCACTTCACAGATGTCACAACTTGATGACTTTTTCTGTAGATATAAATTTAATGTTGCTAAGTTCTCTTCTCTTCCTGGATGCATCCTTGCTTCATCTGCAGTAAGATTTTTTTCTTTTTTTTGAGACAAAGTCTCACTTTGTTGCCCTCAGTAGAGTGCTGTGGCGTCACAGCTCACAGCAACCTCCAACTCTTGGGCTTGGGCGATTCTCTTGCCTCGGCCTCCCAAGGAGCTAGGACTACAGGCGCCCACCACAACACCCGGCTATTTTTTGAGACAAGATCTCACTCTGGCTCAGGCTGGTATCCAATCTGTGAGCCCTAGGCAATCTACCGGCCTCGGCCTCCCAGAGTGCTGGGATTATAGGTGTGAGTCACCATGCCTGGCCTGGCAGTAAGATTTTCTGATTGCAGTTTTTGTGCTTTTTTTTCCTCTGTAAAGCTGTTTTCCTTATAAGTTTGAAGCTCTTTGCAGCTCATTCATATTAAATAGGGGTAGGGTTCTTCTGCTGCGCTGTGAATAGGTCTCATTCACCAGGGGTCTCTTCCCTGAGTGGGGCGTCTGACAGGGAACTCTGGGCCCACAGTGGGGCTGTAAGCTGGCAGTATTCATTTGGGGGTGACTGGGCAAGGCCAGCCAACTGACGAGTGCACCTCCACGTACCCAGATAAGGAGGGCTTTCCAAGCAGAGTGACAGTGCCCCGCTGGTGGCCTGATCTTTCCCTGGATATTCCTTCAGGGTCATCATTCCAAAAGTTTGTTTTCACTAAAGGGTAAAAACCCAGGCATTGTCTGTGTAAACTCGTCAGTGCCTGTGCTGCTGTTACAAATTTTTAAATTTTATTTTTCAGGGTGGCACCTGTGGCTCAGTGAGGAGGGCACCGGCCCCATACACCGAGGGTGGCAGGTTCAAACCCGGCCTGGGCCAAACTGCAACAAACAAATAGCTGGGCATTGTGGCAGGCACCTGTAGTCCCAGCTACTCGGGAGGCTGAAGCAAGAGAATTGCCTAAGCCCAGGGGTTGGAGGTTGCTGTGAGCTGTGATGCCACAGCATTCTACTGAGGGCAATAAAATGAGACTCTGTCTCTAAGAAGAAAAAATTGTATTTTTCAGACAAGCTCAAAGTCCCCTGCACTTCTCAGCCCTTTCCCAGGGGCTCACCCTTTGTGTTACTGTTCTGAGCCCAGACCTCCCTGAAGGTTTCACAGGACCGGAGATCCAGTGTGAGCTTTCCTCCACTTGCTTTTATTTATCATCAACTTCTGTTTTCAACTTTCTAGAAATTGGAATTTTATGTGTTTTTTTTTTTGAGTCTCACTCTGTCACCCTTGGTGGAGTGCGGTGTGTCTTGGCTCACAGCAACCTCAAACTCTTGGATTCTAGCAAGCCGCTGGCCTCAGCCTCCCGGGTA